TAATTTGAGGCAAACCTGGTTTATCCTCAGTGGGTATAGAATCCCAGACTGCTTTGGGTTGGAAGGATCTTAAAGATCATCCAGCTCCAACCCCCTGCCATGGGCAGGGGCACCTTCGACTAGAGCAGGTTGCTCCAAGCCCTGTCCAGCCTGGCCTTGAACAATTCCAGGGAGCAGAAGATGCGGATATTGTGCGAAGTATTATTTAGCAATCAGGAGCTCACATGGCAGCAGCAGGGAAAGAAAGGTCCCATTAGTATTTTAATGTAATTTATTTCTTACTTTTTTGGGAGGGTGCAGAATCAGGCTGTCAGACCTCCAATCCAGACTGCCAAGATGACTGACACAACCACACTCTTTCCAGATGGAAGCAGACAACAGACTAGTGATAAACCCACTCTTAATTAAACATTTGTCTTGCAATTACATACTCCTGAGTAATTATCACCATCAAGACAAACACCAACTGGATTACACAGAGAAGAGACAGACGGTAAAAGGTTAATGAGTCTTCTTCTCCCTTTGCAATTATTCCTGAGATCTTGCAGAGGGAAGGGCAGGACGTCCAGAGAGCTGCTCCCACTATGAGAGAGGAACAAGCCCATTCAAGGAAGAATAAGCCTGAACTAGCTGATTTTGAAATTACAGGACTGAGAGGTTGGATGATAATTTCTTTGAGGTCCTTGTCCAGGTTCAGTGCAGCCTAGACCACATTCAACAGCCTCCAGCGGTTGTGAATCATCCCTCCATAACCTTCCCATGTTATATCTGCTCCGATACCCATGAACCCACTGCTGGCACACAGCTTCAGTACAGGGCTTTGGGCTCTGCGAACACTGGGATTGGGAGTGCCCAGGAGTGGCTTAATGTTATTCTCCTTGGCCCTCCTCCAACACCAGCCCATCTAGTCCCACAGCAGGGTCCCCATAACATCCTTTTCCTCAGGGCTGCTCTGAATCTCTTCTCTGCCCAACCTGTAGCTGTGCCTGGGATTGCTCCAACCCAGGTGTAGGACCTTGCACTTGGCATGGCTAAACTCCATAAGGCTGTCATGAGCCCACCTCACAAGCATGTCAAGGTCCCTCTGGATGGCATTCCTTCCCTCCAGGGTATCAACCGAACCACACAGCTTGGTGTCATCGGCAAACTTGCTGGGGACGCACTCAATCCCACTGTCCATGGCAGTGACAAGGATGTTGAGCAAGACCGGTCCCAACACCGATCCCTGAGGGACACCACTCGTTACTGGTTTCCAGCCGGACATTGAGCCATTGACCACAACTCTTTGTGTGTGGCCATCCAGCCAGCTCTTTATCCACCAAGTGATCCATGCTTACTGCCAGCCATCTCCCCCAAATGGACCCTCCACAGCAAGTTGCTGTTCTCCTCCTTGCTCTGAACCAGTCATTTTTCTACTGTGAAAACCAAAGCTACAGGAAAGGCACCCTGGCAATTTCCCAAGGTTCATCTGATTTGCTGAGCCAATGCTGGAGTACTGATGGCCAGTACCACCATCTCTGTCAAGGAACAAGCATACAGGTCGCAGCCATTACACCAGGAAAGCTTTCAAGCTAGCCCAGCTCACGCCTGTGAAGGAGTTCATGGCCTGCTCAGGCCATAGGGAAATGTCATTATTTAGGTTTCTCAGCTGTATGAATAAATATCAACCATAAAACATCAGTTCGTAACTGAAATGATGCTGCTCAGCACATGGCACAAGTAGCTGCATCAGCAGGAATGGGTGAGGTGGGGATGACCAGTGCAAAGGGATACAGGGGAACAGGGGCTGAGGCTCTTCTGTGGACAAATTCCCCCTGAAATCTGGGAAAAATGAAATCAATAAGGGGAAAAAAAAAAAAGAAACTTCAGGATGAATCAATCCATAAGACTTCTACAAAGCATGAAACAGCCTTAAAGTATTACCAGGAGAATCCAAGCAGCTTGAGCTCACAAAAGGCCTGGATGTATCATCAGTTACTAATCTCACATCAACTAAATAAGAAATACTACTAAATTGGAATAGAAAAAAAATCAGAAAAACCCAAATTTTCTTTAATTTCTTGAGTGAGAAGGGTGTGCTGCTATTCACTGCTGTGATTTTCCACTAGTTTTAAATCCAGGAAGAACTGAGGAAACAGGAAAACTGATTTTCCTAGTGCAATTCTCAATACAAGGAGGAAGAAGCTATGACCCAGTACATCAAAGTACAAACACACTTACTTGGTTGCAATCATACCTTTCCAAAACACTTGGTTTTATTCAGCTTTGAAAGCAACACATGTAGGAATAAACTTATTCCATGGTTCTGTCTATACAAATAAAACACATAAGTGCTTCTGCCTATACTTAAAACCCAGTGTGTTGAAGTGGCTTCATTTAAACAAGTTTTTCTGCATTTTAATTGCATCCCAGGAAATTCCATGTGACACAAGATAGATTAAAAAAATAATAATCCACCATTTAATAAGAAAGTACCATTTAATTTTCCTTCTTCACTGTGGAAAAACTGCAACCCTAATTACAAGGATATTATACATATACAAGCATATTGTATGTATATAATCAGCTTTGTAGCTGATTAAATATATATTCTCCTGACTATCACATGCACATCTTCCACATTTAGCCCAACTCTTGGTTTTAGTTGCAGTCAACATGTCATAAAGGGTCTTGTCTAGTAAGAAAAGCACCTAAGGGGGAAAAAAAAACCAAAACCCAAGTGCAAAACTGGATGAAAACTCCTTATTTGAATGCAGATTTCCTGCTTTTCCATGCTGGTCCTCAGCAAAGGAGCTCTCTGTAAATAGAAAAATATACAGATTATATTCTTCATAATATTATATTATAAATATTATTATTATATATATAGGGAAATATAACCCCCATTTTTAAGAAGAGGAAAATGGATGACCCAGGGAATTACAGACCAGTCAGTCTCACCTCTGTGCCTGGCAAAATCTTGGAGCAGATTCTCCTGGAAGGCATGCTAAGGCACATGAAAAACAACAAGGTGCTTGGTGACAGCCAGCAGGGCTTCACTAAGGGGAAATCCTGCCTGACCAATGTGGTGGCCTTCTCTGATGGGGCTACAGAACTGATGGACAGGGGTAGAGCAGTTGATGTCATCTACCTGGACTTGTGCAAAGCATTCGACACTGTCCCACACAACATCCTTGTCTCTAAATTGGAGAGACATCAATTTGATGGATGGACCACTGGGTGGATAAAGAACTGGCTGGATGGCCGCACACAAAGAGTTGTGGTCAATGGCTCCATGTCCAGCTGGAGACCAGTAACGAGTGGTGTCCCTCAGGGATCGGGGTTGGGACCGGTCTTGTTCAACATCTTTGTCACTGACATGGACAGTGGGATTGAGTGCACCCTCAGCAAGTTTGCTGATGACACCGAGCTGTGTGGTTCGGTTGATACCCTGGAGGGAAGGAATGCCATCCAGAGGGACCTCGACACGCCTGTGAGGTGGGCTGATGCCAACCTCATGAAGTTTAACCATGCCAAGTGCAAGGTCCTACACCTGGGTCAGGGCAATCCCAGGCACAGCTACAGGTTGGGCAGAGAAGAGATTCAGAGCAGCCCAAGGAGAAGGACTTGGGGGTGTTGGTTGATGAGAAACTGAACATGAGCTGGCTGCAGTGTGTGCTCGCAGCCCAGAAAGCAACCGTATCCTGGGCTGCATCAAAAGGAGTGTGACCAGCAGGTCAAAGGAGGTGATCCTGCCCCTCTGCTCTGCTCTCCTGAGACCTCAGCTGGAGCACTGTGTGCAGTTCTGGTGTCCTCAACATAGAAAGGACATGGAACTGTTGGAACAAGTCCAGAGGAGGCCACGAGGATGATCAGGGACTGGAGCACCTCCTGTATGAAGACAGGCTGAGGTAGTTGGGGCTGTTCAGGCTGGAGAAGAGAAGGCTGCATGGAGACCTCATAGCAGCCTTCCAGTATCTGAAGGGGGCTATAAGGATGATGCGGATGGACGCTTCATTAGGGACTGTAGTGACAGTACAAGGGGTAACGGGTTAAAACTTAAACAGGGGAAGTTTAGATTGGATATAAGGAGGAAATTCTTTCCTGTGAGGGTGGTGAGGCACTGGAATGGGTTGCCCAGGGAAGTTGTGAATGCTCCATCCCTGGTGGTGTTCAAGGCCAGGTTGGACAGAGCCTTGGGTGACATGGTTTAGTGTGAGGTGTCCCTGCCCATGGCAGGGGGGTTGGAACTGGATGATCTTAAGATCCTTTCCAACCCTAACTGTTCTATGATTCTAAGGTTCTCTGCAATCCAAACCAGTCTGTGGTTCTCTCAATTTCTTCCAATGCAATGCAGAGTAGACACCTCAGGTAGGATCCAAATACCCAAAGCAGGAGACCAAAAAAACTCTACCTCAAAACCAACACCCCCTCTCAGAACAAAAGCACAGAAATCTAGGGTTGCATTGCACATACTGGGGTACACCTTTATTAATAAATTTCAAATTTTTTTTTAAACACACTGTCATCTTTATGGGCCATAAGAGCAGACAGTTTACACGAGATGATGTGGTTAAAACAGATACAGGCTCACAGACAGAAACGACAACAGATTTGTTTGGGTTTTTTTCTTTTTACCAACTTGCAGAATTAGCACTTACCACAATAAGTTTGTTCTGGGACTCCAAGGTATTTAAAAACAACCTTCTATAACAATATCTGACAATTTTGACCACCATTCTCAGAGCAGACTTTGACTTTTTTTCTTAAAAATACCCACTGCTCTGTAGTTTGGTCCAAGGGTTAAGTCTGAGGGAAAAATCTAACTGCCTTTTTTGTCTTCATGAAGTACAAAACCCGCATGGCTCATAGAAACTACCCAGCACCCAACTGCCTGTTAATGTTTAAATGGCATCAGATGTTCCTGTTCCAATGATAGACACTCCAAAACATACAATTAGGATCAGAAAGATTAAGAAGTGAAAATTTGGAAACTGGTTTGCACGATTTAAGAAAAAAAAATCCAGAATCAAATGCTTCCTTTGAGTAGCTGCAGAGCTTTGGACACAGTTTCTAACTCATTAACAAGAAAAGGAACATCACGACCATGCAGAGGACATTAACTTTCAAGTGCTGACCTGAAAATGTGATTAAAACTGCCTGTGACCACAGATGAGCCAATCACATCTTTGCTTTGCACATGTAATTTATCAAAAGACGTTAGCTCCCTCTCAAGTTTTCAAAACAAAAATCAGATACTTTGAGGCCATTTGAGATTGCCAGTCCTGATTTAGGATGTCTGAAAAACACTAGGGAAAACATTGCCTTTCAGAAAATAAGGAGATCTAAATAGTAATGTCCATACATGGAATCTTTCTGCATACAACAAAACTCTCTGCGTCTCAAAACACTGCTGCCATCTACATCTGGGGTAAGCAGAGTACGGGAAGCATGTTAGCAGACGGCGTATCGGATAATTCCAGAGGTACGGATTTCCTTCACTCTTTGGCAGTGGCGCAGGATGACGATGATCTGATGGAAGCGCCTGTCCAACTTCATACGGGTGAAAAGTCTGATATCTTCCTCCACGACAAAATAAACATCTGGAAAACAAAGAACAGCTTTGCTAGAGAAATAACTGTTGTAGGATACACTTAATATTGCACACATAACTACACAACCTCTACTTAGCAACAGTACAGTCATCAGCAGGACAGCCTCGCACTGTCTCAGGAGCTTTGTCTTACTGTGTAAACTATCACTAGAAAGAATAATTACCAGCATTCATTAAGTTAATGGAAATCCTGCACCATCCACAGGCCCCATTCAATGAGCTCCCTCTGTTATCATCTGTATCTACTAACATCTCCTAAACCACGCACGCTCCTGTCAGGGTGTACATACAATCACAGAGTGGCCTGTGTTGGAAGAAACCTTAAGGTTCATCCAGCTCCAACCCCTGCCACGGGCAGGGACCCCTTCCACTGGAGCAGCTTGCTCCAAGCCCCTGTGTCCAACCTAGCCTTGAACACTGCCAGGGATGGGGCAGCCACAGCTTCTCTGGGCACCCTGTGCCAGTGCCTCAGCACCCTCACAGGGAAGAGCTTCTGCCTAAGAGCTCATCTCAGTCTCCCCTCGGGCAGGTTAAAGCCATTCCCCTTGGCCTGTCCCTACATCCCTTGTCCCAAGCCCCTCTCCAGCTTTCCTGCAGCCCCTTCAGGCACTGGAGCTGCTCTCAGGTCTCCCCTTCAGGAGCCTTCTCTTCTCCAGGCTGCCCCAGCCCAGCTCTCTCAGCCTGGCTCCAGAGCAGAGCTGCTCCAGTCCTTGCAGCATCTCCATGGCCTCCTCTGGCCTCACTCAAGCAGGCCCACAGTATATTATCACCATACCATAATACTGGGAGAATCTCAATGAGCAACAACTCAAAAAGAAGCAAGAAAATGTCTCAGTTTGTTGTGACTCCTGAGTACCCAGTGAATGCTTAGGGCAGAATGCTCTTGCATTCTGTCCAGAGCAAAAATTAAGAGGCAAGCCTCAACATAAAGAATTCGCTCCATGTTTTATGTCTGAACTCAGAAACATGAGGACATTCTAAAGATATTGCCAAGCTCGGCATGTGGAGTACACCCCTCCAGGAATAATTACATTCTTGTTCTCAAAAAGAATGTCAAATAGGATATTTTAATATTAGAGATTCATTGTACCATGTATCTTTGAAAAGCTAACCTGTAAGTACAGCTGGCTTTTAAGTTAAGGGAAAGACATTTTTGTGTGGTGTTGTTCCTTCCACACTTTAAAGAGGAGAAAACCTCTTGAGAATATCAGACAGCCCTGTCTTTTCTATAAACCCTCTGCAGCATGACTGATTACCCAGATTTCCCAACCTTAGAACAAGTTTTTAACAGCTCATGTCCATTCTAGCTTAAAAGCTGAAAGCACCATTTATACAGCTTGGTTATCAAAGCAGAAGCTACCAGAACTTGTAGCAATTCCTCACTAAACCTTTGTGCACCCAAAGATTTTGCTACAACACACTGTGAAAGTGATAATATTTTTAGTGAAAACATATAAAAAGCAACCAAGTTGGTCATGGGAAAACTCTTCACTCAAAACCATAACTCTTGTTGCTACACTGTATGACTTTATCCAGAAAAGGTTTTTATATTGAGTATTTTAAAAGGTTTTTTTATACTGAGAATATAAAAAGGATTTTTTACTGCTTACCCAAATCTGTACAGTAATAAGACACTTACATTCCTTATGGCCTAGAATCTAATCTCATTTGTGTTCCCCTTCCATTACATGGAGGCGGAAGCAGAACTTCCCAAGCTCCAGACTGCTGAAGTATTATAACTCCACAAACTATTATTTTTTTCACTATTTTTTTTTTCATCTGAGAGTAAGCAACAGCAGATTTCCTAAATATTTTCACTCCAGGAAGTTAGAGCATTCCACCATTTACCTCAGCCTGCATAGACTGTTTGCTGAGAATAAAATGCTCTGAGTTACACCATAACATGAAAAGCACGTGCTGTCATTAATAATTCAATATTTTGTTCAGTATCTTTATACTTGTGCTGCAATATCCAAATGTTACAAATGTGGTACTAACAAAGGGATAAAAAAAAATACCTTCAATATCCTCGGTTTCTTCTGTTATGTATCTGTAGTGCAGGCTTCTGTTTGTTGCATTCATAGAACTTGGAGCCTGATTGCGGATCTTGTATTTGGTCACCATTGCTTTGTTTAGATTTTTAACAACTGCATTGATCTGATCACATGTTATGCGGCCTTTCATATACCTGCAAATGAAAAATAAAAATCAGTAACCAGAAAATCAAAGTTCTGTGTTTATTTTTCTCTTTCATCTGCCTTCACTGAAGGCCTTATTCAATTTCTTCTTCAGTTTTTCTGCTCTGTGTTAATGGATAAACATAGTAGTTAATTTTGCTCACTTCCTTGACTGTCTAATAATCTTGAAAGTAAAAAGCCCTGGTAAAACTTAAACCAGAGAGACGAAACATTAGAAGGCTAAATTAAGTAAAAAAAAAACCCAGTGCTTAAGTTGTAAGAAGCAATTCAAGATGGAACAAAGGTTGCTGTTACATTGTACCACTTCAAATACAAATGCAGTAAAGTCAAACAGCATTGCAGAAAACACTGTACAAGCCAAAACTGAAATTAAATGTTTCTGCCTAAGAGTGCAATGTTATTCGCACTAGATACTGTGTGTGATCCTAGAGCCATTCCTGTATTTTTCTGAAGAAATGCCAGTTTTGTGTTGTTTTCTGTATTTTATTGTGCAGTGTACTGAGCTATGCAAGACACAGCTCCTCTGAACTTTCAGAGCGGTTCATAAAACTGGCACTAAAATAGTAAGATTTGCCAATAACAGCCTAGAGGCACAGGAAGCACAGAAGATAAAAACAAAGTTATGTGGAAGCATTAGAACACTGGAATATTTGCAAGTTAAGCTATTTAGTATTTATAATGTAAAGACATGAATTCAAGAAAAAGGAAACATGCTATGAACTGAGGAGCCATTACTTAAAAACAAAGGCAAAACAAAGGCTGAAACCCACATAAACAAGCAGTAAGCTAAATACAAAATAAAACCCCAGAAACCACTGCAGTAACAGAGAGGGCACCCTTATAACCTGAATTATCCTGTGACTGCTTTTCAGGCACTGCAACACACCAAACTTGGCTGTTGGTGTTTGGTTCAGTACCAGTTTGCTGATGTGTGGAACTGAGGGAAGTGTTGCAATTAATTTTAAGAAAAGAGTTCTTTAGGTTGGTACATCAGGTGACTAAATGCTGTAGGAGAGTAAGACTGAAAAGATCAATGAACAGGAAATTTCTTCCCTCATTTTAATCTGAATGGAAAAACATATTTGGAAAACATACAAAGCATTAAAAGCACAAGTAGCTAATCAATGAGAAATTCAATATACCAAACCACAATGTGGGCAGGCATTCTACAATTGCCAACTAGAAATAGGTGTTCGCTGTCAATTTGAAGAATAGCCAGCTCCTGCCAGGGACAAAGGCCTGCATGGGGAGTGTAAAAACTCCTGAATTCAAAGCATTTGCTCTAACTCCAGACTGAAATGCTGCTAAGTTATTTGCTATCAGTTTTCAACTGTATTGATACTTTGATTAATCCAGACTCAAAGTTTGAGGTGCAGCCATTTTTTTAAATAAAAATATTCTACTTTGCACAAACAGCAAAGTTTTTGTTCAAACAAAAGCAGCACTTCCACTCCTGAAGTTCAGTCACACTTGGCATAAACCACAGAAGGGCTTTGCCTGTATACATTAACTGCTATTTCTTGCTCTATCTGCATCCCTTAGCCTATTTATAAAGTCACAGGGGAGGGTGCAGAGTTATGAAGATTAAGGCCAGAGGATAAAATACCTATATTTAAGTTCCTATGCTCCCACTATCAGAAGACAAAGAGTGTGGGAAGCAGAAACAGAAAAGCAGGATTTGGTTACCTGACCCTAAGAAACAAGAGCTCAAAGAGAGGCCCTCAGGAATCCAAGGTGCTTGGCGGTGGCCAGCAGATGTGCTGGGGTCTAGAGACAACTCACTAACTAAAGATCTGATAGTGCATGCTACAGAATCTGCAATGGCACCAAGGAGTTAGGCTTAGCCAACTGCCTTCTGGTTTCTCCAAAGGCATTCAGGGACAAGAGGGGGTGCTGGGGCACCCAGTAAGCATAGGGAAACCAGTATTACAGACTTTTACATGTAGGTGCCTTCATCTGAAATGAAATTCTGCCAAAAGAAACTGCAATTTTTTTTCTGTGTATAACCATAAGGGTCACAAAACCCCCTCATGTTTCGATCAGCCATGGCTGGCAAACATATAAATGCTGGTATTTATTTCTGTTTGTACATACAGCAACATGAAAATACAAAGTTGAGAAGTTACAAATTCACCCATTTAAATTAGATTTAAAATAACTTCAAAATCTATATTAATACACCAAAGGAAAAAAAAAATCAGATTCTTTTTTATTTTTTAAAAGAGTGACCCAATTTCTTCTTTTAATCCACAGAAGCCCTTTTCAAAACGTTTTTCTCCCTAGGTATGAAAACTAAAGCACAGTGCTATGTTCTTCAAAGAAAAAAACATCAGTATATCACATATATGTCACTGCAAAAGAGATGAACCTCCTCCTAATGGCTAGCCCCTGCTTCCTCAAAAGTGCTTAGGTTAAAAGAAACTTCTATTCCCCCAAGTTACCATCTTCTGAGACTTGAGAGTTATTACGAATGTACAGATTCTAAAATATCTTAAGTGGTAAGAATTTTATACAGGGAATAAAGCAAGCATTTTCTTTTGCCTTGAATTCAATGTTAACTCAGACATCCACTGTGCAACTTCCTTTCTCTTCCTCCAAAAAGTGCCTTTCTGTGACAGATTTGAAGGGTGAGATAATCTGCAAAGTTTCTTACTGTGCTGAAGCATTCTGTTTGATCAAGGGACTCTTGTATCCACACTTTAACACAGCATGGACCCCTGCTAAATACCTGCTGCAGAGTTCCAAAATTAGGAAGCCACTGCAGACAATACCCCTTTTTGTGCCCTAATGATGTTAGGGATAGACTGTTGTTCACATTCAGCACTAAGAGGGTGAAAACCACCTAGATTATTCAGTTACAATCTATAGCAGCTGTGGGAGGAAAAGAGAGAGGAATGTGACTCTTGGCAGATGCAAAATCCAAGATACCCAGCTGGTATAGGATTTAGACACATATGTGATGCATTTGTGCTTTACTAAGTCCCTCAGACAGGCTTAGCATAGGCACAGTCCTGCGCTAGCACAGCCAAGCAGCTCTAGGACTAGAGCTGTGTAAAGATGCAGCAGGTATAAAGAGACCTGACACTGGATCCAGCGCTGACCTAGAGAAGTGGGATACGAGCCTAATTCTCATTGTTCTAAGACAATACATGAAGTGTGAGAAAACCTCTTGGGTTTCAAGCTTGGGTCACAAGCTTGCTGGTTAGATTTGAATAAATAGTATGTGAGATGGCAAGCTTAGCGGACTCTCCCAGTCTTCTATTACAACACTGCCAGGCAACAGATAAAAAATGGTAGATTAATAGTACTATTTAAATTCATGTAAATCATCCTCCACAGAACAAACATGCTTTTCCCATATGAGTAAAAATAATTCTATAGCTCCAGAAGCACAGTTTAAGATGTGACCTTTCTGTAAATCCAGAATAAACAGAAGAGAACCCATCTAGGCTCTGTCCCTATCCTCCCCACCTGGGATCAGCAGTGGAAAGTCTTCCATTTTTAGGGATAATGAAACAGTCAAGAAGTTACATGGAAGACTGTAGTTTTAAGTGGAAGACACAATATTTGGCTGGAATGTTTGGCTGGAACTACTCCTGCCATAGCATGGGACTAAAAATTCATGTACTCCAGATTCACCTTTCAAAAATTTTATCAGAGAGAAGTACCTACAGGATTAAATCCACCATGTACCAGAAATGATCACCAGAGTAAAATATACCAGCAGCACACACCTTTAAGAAGTAACTAAGAGTTGTGCTTCATTAGTTCAACTTTCAGACACAAAAATAAAAAAATCTTACAGAAATAAGTGCTATCAGGGAACACACTGAATCCAGACTCAGTGACAATGAACCAGTGAGCCCAGAGGAGACCATGGAGATACTGCGAGGGCTGGAGCAGCTCTGCTCTGGAGCCAGGCTGAGAGAGCTGGGCTGGGGCAGCCTGGAGAAGAGAAGGTTCCTGAAGGGGAGACCTTAGAGCAGCTCCAGTGCCTGAAGGGGCTGCAGGAAAGCTGGAGAGGGGCTTGGAACAAGGCCCTATAGGGACAGGCCAAGGGGAATGGCTTTAACCTGCCCGAGGGGAGACTGAGATGAGCTCTTAGGCAGAAGCTCTTTGCTGTGAGGGTGCTGAGGCGCTGGCACAGGGTGCCCAGAGAAGCTGTGGCTGCCCCATCCCTGGCAGTGTTCAAGGCCAGGTTGGACACAGGGGCTTGGAGCAAGCTGCTCTAGTGGAAGGGGTCCCTGCCCGTGGCCGGGATTGGGACTGGATAAGCTTTAAGTTCCCTTCCAACCTAAACCGTCTGTAATTTTAGGATAAAAATTTAGTCATCAAGAGAATTCCCTCATTTTGGCAGGGATATTTGTCCTTGTCCAAAAATGCCATTTAGGAAAAGTTATTCCTACATGACAGACTGCAAAATGCCCTTTAATGGAGCAGTGCAGGATGGGGCAAGTTGGTGCTGTCTGGCTAGTTTAGCCCCATATGGCCAGTGCAAAAGTCTAACAGAGAGGGGAGACAAACAGTAGACTATCATAGCCTGAATGAAGTCACAGCACCATTGAGTGCTACTGTACCAGACATGCAAGAACTTCTATATGAACTGGAGTCAAAGGCAGCTAAGTGAGATGTCACAATTGATATTGACAAGGCATTTTTCTCAATCCCTTCAGCAGCAGAGTGCTGGCCACAGTTCACGTTTACTTGGAGGGGCACCCAGTATATTCGGAATCAACTGCCCCAGGGGTGAAAAAACAGCTGCTAAAAAGGAGAAAAATGAATGCCACAGCTGAACCCAGAACACAAGGACCTCTAATAATCAGATCCTCACAGTAGGGGAAAAAACCCACAGCTTTCTATTCCAAAAATCTGGGATGTTATAATGGGAGGGCTTTTTTTTTTTTTTAAAAAGTCTGGTTTCTTTTCCTGTCCCAGAGCAGGTTGGTAAGCCAAGACCTGAAAGCTGTCAGAAACCAACTGTTAGGTTGAATAAAACCAGCATCTATTATTAGTTTTCCTTTT